ACATCACAATCACACTTCAGCCTCATCCTCCTCCTGATACTCATCCTCATCCTCATATTCCTCATCGGCAGTGGCATCTTGGTACTGCTGATACTCTGCAACTAGATCATTCATGTTGCTCTCGGCCTCAGTGAACTCCATCTCATCCATGCCTTCCCCAGTGTACCAATGCAGGAAAGCCTTCCTCCTAAACATGGCCGTGAACTGCTCACTCACCCTTCTGAACATCTCCTGAATCGAAGTCGAGTTCCCAATAAAAGTCGACGCCATCTTCAACCCAGTGGGCGGTATATCACACACGGTCGATTTCACATTGTTCGGAATCCACTCGACAAAGTATGACGAGTTCTTGTTCTGAACATTGATCATCTGCTCGTCAACTTCTTTAGTGCTCATTTTGCCGCGAAATACAGCTGAGGCAGTTAAGTAGCGGCCATGGCGCGGGTCAGCAGCACACATCATGTTCTTGGCGTCCCACATCTGTTGGGTAAGCTCGGGAACTGTCAGAGCCCGGTATTGTTGGGACCCACGGGATGTGAGAGGGGCAAAACCGACCATGAAGAAATGGAGTCGGGGGAAAGGGATAAGGTTGACCGCCAGTTTCCGGAGGTCAGAGTTGAGTTGACCAGGGAACCGGAGGCAGCAGGTTACACCGCTCATGGTGGCGGAGATTAAGTGGTTCAAGTCCCCAACTGAACAAAACAAAAACAAGAAAAAATGGCAAAGGTTAACAAACAAAGTTGCTGAATGAAAAAGTGCTGATTTTTATCAAAGGGGTTTTGTTAAGGATCCAAATGACTAACAATACTGCAGACTAGATGAGAACATGAGACTTACAGCTTGGGGTTGTCAGTTTGAGGGTTCGAAAACAGATATCATAGAGAGCCTCATTGTCGAGGACCATGCACTCGTCAGCATTCTCAACAAGCTGGTGTACAGAGAGTGTTGCATTGTAGGGCTCCACCACAGTATCAGACACCTTAGGTGAAGGGAATACTGAGAATGTCAACATCATCCGATCTGGGTATTCTTCTCTTATCTTTGATATCAGTAAGGTTCCCATGCCAGAACCTGTGCCGCCTCCCAAAGAGTGGCAAACTTGAAATCCTGGAGAATATACAACAGATTGATAAGTGAACCCAGCATAATAAAATTCTTGATCTGGAATTATGTTTTTAATCTACAAAAACTACAATTGCAGACAAACTTATCACATATGCTCTTAGGTTATTCAAGGAAATGATGATATGCAAAGCTTCAAGGATAAGTAGCAAAATCACCATAGACGCTGCAGATGCAATGGGGCTACACACACTTCATTTACTTAGAAATCACATTGATAATAATAACCATAACAGATAAATGATTCTGATATGTATTACACGATTATTTCCCCCTTTCTCCCAGAGGGCACGGGAAGCACCAAAGACACAATCAGAACACTCGTGTAGAACCACAACACTTAAGAAGTCTACAATCAAAAACTGCTTCAAAGTTTACATGTTAAAAAGAAAAAAAACCTCACTGAATCTTAGCAAAACACCACACACTTATGGAACATTTAGAGTGAGAAACAAACAGCATGCTCCAAACAAACATACAAAAATAAATTAATTTAACACACACCGAGAGACTTGTGTATATCTCATCAACTACATAACCATCAACATTTACACTAGTTCACAGAACTCAGTAACTAAGCGCGAATGTTCCAGAAAAAATAGCAAACCCTAGCAACATAAAAAATTAAGGGTAGAGGAGAAACTATCATACCCTGGAGGCAATCGCAGTTCTCAGCTTCCTTCCTGACGACGTCAAGCACAGAGTCGATGAGCTCAGCACCCTCCGTATAGTGCCCTTTCGCCCAGTTGTTCCCGGCGCCGGACTGCCCGAAGACGAAGTTGTCGGGCCGGAAGATCTGACCGAAGGGCCCGGAACGGACGCTGTCCATCGTCCCGGGCTCGAGGTCCATGAGGACGGCCCGAGGGACGAACCTGCCGCAGCTAGCCTCGTTGTAGTAGACATTCACGCGCTCAAGTTGCAGATCGGAGTCCCCATGGTAGCGGCCGGTGGAGTCGATGCCGTGCTCCGTACAGACGACCTCCCAGAACTTGGCGCCTATTTGGTTTCCACACTGACCGCCCTGGATGTGAAGGATTTCACGCATTTTTGCAGGTGTGTGGGTGAGAGAGAGAGTGGCGATGGAGGGTTTGAGACAGAGTGTTTTCTGTGTGAAGCGAATGGCAGTGGCGACTGAAATAGGGAAAATCTATGGGGAGGGAAAGGTGAAATTTTTTGAATTTGGGTTGTGATCTGGTGTGTTGATCACATGTGGTTGTGTTTGGGATTGGGTACGTGGCTGCCTGTGAGTGGTGTGGTCTAATCTCCTGAAAAATGAAAAAGGAAAATGATAATAAGCAACAAAAAAGACAAAATGTGGAAATTTTTTAACTTAACAAATCTATATATATATATATATATAAAGATTAAAAGAATTAACATTTATCAAAAATAGCAGCAAAAAAGTCAATGAGCATTTAATGCATACTTTATTTGGAAATTTTTTAAATATATGCATTAATTGCTTTAATATACACATTTCCAAATTAAATATGACCAAAAAGATTCTTTCCTTGAATAATTTTATTAACATATGCAATAATTTTATTGATATCCATTATAATAAAGTAATAAACTATAATTTGATTTTTCGTGATTGATGTTGATAATATTTTGGTCAACATAAACATGAAAACAACTTTTAAGTCTTAACCATATTATTATTTTTTTTTCACAAATGTTGACTTTCATCCTAAAATATTTATAAACAATGGTAACATTTTAATAATTCTCCCTCTAACTAATTAGCCGAAATCAAGTTGATGAATTAATATTTTTCGATAATATTTTTTAACCTTTATTTAATTATATAAACAAATAATTTTTTAAATTAAAATAATTTACCATTTAAGATATAATGATCACATCATTAAATAATTTATTAATGGCTACATAATAAAATTAAAATATATTAACTATTCTTTACATTTTCAACATTTGATTTATTTGTATATTATTGCCAACCATGATAATTTTATCATTTTTTTTTTATTTTTATTTGTTTCCATAATGAATTTATTGTAAAATATATATTTATATTGCATAGTATGTTAAATAAACTAATAAAGCCTTAGGATGCAAATTAGAAAAAATCTCTTGATTATGTAAGGTTTATTATTTGACAATTTGCTAAATCAATTTCTTTTTAATTATTATGAGAAAATTAAATTCTAAAAAACATGTGTGTGTATTTTGTAAACACTTATAGAAATTTTTTTATTTTAAACTCATTATATAAACTAAGAAGAAGAAGAAGAAGACTACTTCTATAACCTTTATAAATAATAATAATGACATTATATGACAACAAATATTATAATAAAATAATAATTGACTATTAAATAAATGGTGAACAAGAATAAACATAAAGTTTATTTTTTTTTCTTATATCGATGGATAAATATATGTTGCAGAATCAAATTTATATCAATATAACGTGTTAGCAGAATGATATATTAATAACATGTCAACGTTATGACTAAAATAAATATCACTGATTGAAAGAAATGGAAAATTAATGATCCAACCCTATTATTTTTTGTCAAAATCGTACAAGCCATATAGATGACTCAATTAATATATGTGCCCCGTGCATCGCACGGGCTATGCACTAGTACATTATATATACATTAATAGCATCTCCAATTCTTTGAGCTATTTGGAAAAGTATTAATTGCAACATTAGATTTTCATATTTTTGTGGGGAAAAAAAAAATCTCTAATGCAAAAGGTCTAAATGATGCGATATATATAAAACAAATGAATTAGGTCTTGTTTAAATTCATTTTAAGATAATGCACTAAGTCTCCACAAAAGTTAATGGTTTATTAAAACTTCTTAAATATATTTATTTACAAGTTATTTCAAACCCAAGTTTAAAATATTATATTGAAGTGAGTAAGTCCTATTATTTATTTATTTTTTCCATATAGTTAAAGAATTATAAATTTATATAATGATAATTAAATAAAATTATACTCAAAATATTGTAAACACGTTAATGTGTCATGCCTAATTTCATGAAATCCGTTTGTGGGACATCAAATGAGAAAAATAAAAAATCTTACTCCCTGCAAGAAAATGGTATAGTATTTATGAATTTAATATATTTCTCAATATAACTTATTATTGCAAGTCAATCGTTATTACAATTGTCATTACTCAATTAATTTTGAACACCTACCTAAATTGAAAGATGCAGAGTGATGATCAACACAGCCAAACTTCATCATCACAATTCACATCAATGTATGTTTGATCCAAAAGCTAAAACACATCTCTCAGCTATATTTCATTTTTCCCTTTATGTTAGAGTATTATTCACTCATATGTCTTGTTGTGGAGCCATTTTATGGGCATCTCTGAATTTAGAGGTGCATTTTACAGTCTTTTTTGGTTCTACACTTGATTTCACAGCTGTGTGGTGGGTTCTTTCTTTAAAGATCATCATTTTAAGTGAACATAAAGCAAATATAACACCACTAAAATGGCATCCACCAACCTTTGACAAATTGTTACGGATGTTATTGGATATCAACTAAAAAAAATAATGGAAAATCTAATTAAACTCAACTTTAACGAAAATCTTACCCTTTTCAATATTATCAATATTATTTTTTATATTTTTTTCTTTAAAAATCATATAGCATTAAATGTTACTTTAAATTTTGGGCTTTAGTTCATGTCATTATTTAAAAAATAAGGTTAAGATTTATTAAGTGCGTATGTTTTTATTTTTATTTTTTTCTTAGAAACAAAGAGCAACATTAAAATCTCGGTCTCTATGTTTATAAAATCTCAATTCAAGATATAACAAAAATTTTAGAATCTCGGTCTATATTTGTGCCTTTAAAAAAATATTGAACACTAAAAAATATTCTTTAAATTGCATAATCAATCAATTAATTCTATTTTTTTTTAAAATTACTATGTTTATTTTTTATTAATATGCATAAAGTAAAAACAATTAATTCATCTTTAGATATATAATTTATAATCTTAATATGCTATCATTTGGTGTAGACATTTATTATACGAATCATAAAATATTTTTATTTCATAAAATCAAATATATTTAAAGAAAATAAGAAAATTTCTTCGGATCAATCGAGCGATTGAATTAGGGTACTGTCCAGGTTGATTGTATTACTTTTAGGTGATATTTAAAATAGTTAAAAAATTTGACACAACGTGGTTGGTTCCAAGTGACTAAGTTATGTAACAGTTCGACCACACCAAATCGATTATTGAACCTAAATATAAATTTTATATTGAAAATATTTTATTACGTGAATGTGATGTAGTCAAACTTCAAATAATCGACTGGTGTTGACGGATTCGAGAGCAAATATTTTAATAAAGCGAACTAAACTGGTTATAAACCAGTGCTTGATCCATCCGGTCGGACTGTGTCCAACCCGGTATTCAAAAACAATGAATAAATCATGATTAATGTTATATATATATTTAATTTATAATACAATCATAATATTGTTTTTCCGTGCATCGCACGGGCCACGCACTAGTTTAATTAAACTCAACTTTAACCAAAACCTTACCCTTTTCAATATTATCAATATAAATTAAATAAGAAATATGCTACAAGTACATGATAACTGTACATAAAGGTGTACATAACACTCACATGGAGTGGGTCCGCTTGATTTTTTTATTTGGAAAGCGCTACATGTACATAGAAGTGTACATAACGCTCACATGGAGTGTGGTCAACTTGATTTTTTATTTTTGGTAGGTCTCGTTCAATGTGAGTGTTATGTACACCCCTATGTACAATATTATGTACACATAACATTTTTTTTTTTTTTTTGTAGGACCTACTCAATTTGAGTGTTATGTATACCTCTATGTACATTATTATGTACCTATATAATTTCTCATTAAATAATATCAATCCATCATTCTTACACATTACATCAACGTTAATTCATTATTTATCCACTAACATAATTTTAATTATCAATCACTTCAGTTCACAACTTCACATCATCTCTTTCACATTTTTACATCAAATTAACTTTAATTATTTTATTTTAAATATTATATTAATATAAACTCAAAATTCCACTTATAACTAATCATACTATTTTTTTTTAAATTAACTATGGTAAACAAAAACACCAATCAAAACCAAATCAAATTTATATCCCGTCACACCCTATATGCTCATTTATTACATGTTAATATTTCGAAATTTTGGAAAGTCATTTCCAATCTTATCTCTATTCTTGTATAGAGTTTAATGTTTACTATGAAGTAGAGTAAAGCAAAAATAAAGTTTCGTCTTCAAGTGTTTTACGCTACAATTTGAGCTCTTATGATATCTCATTTTGTATAATTTCAGTTCTACATTCGTGCTGCACTTTTTTATTATTATTATTTTTCTCCTTAACATATATGTCTAAATACACGAATTTCAAGTAACAAGTAGCAAACCAACACTTCTCTCCAAGTTGATATTTAACTAGATAAAGTCATAAAACATCAAAAGTATGTATTTGATTTTTACTATGTTTGAAAAAAAGCTTCTCAAATAAATTTTTGTGTCTAACCACAAAACATTTTGCAAAAAATCGCTCCTGCTGCCCATGCAAAATTCAACATCACATGAATCGAACTATCTTGTGGTGGTGAAGCCCAATGGGCCCATGAGGGCAGCATTGAAAATTCCAACAGGCTTGACCCTTAAGCCCAGACTCTAAGCCCCACCTGTTTGAGATCTGTTTTGTGTCAGATTGCTTCATTTATGGTGGGTATGTGCATTCATAGGTTATTGTTCAAGCTATCTAAATTGGATAAGTTGGACCCTCTGTCAGGTCTTTGAGAATTAACTTTTGAATAAGTTGATTAATTTGCAAGTATCGAGTTTTTTACCGTCAGAATTAACACACGATCATCGTAAAAGACTGTCCTTAACGGCATAATAAAAAATCTCAAAATTTGCCTTTCTCGAATTTTTACCGTCAGATTAACACACAGTCGTGGTAAAAAGACTGTCCTTGCTAGTATAATCGAAAATCTCAAATTTTTGCCTCGGGTTTTTTCACTGTCGGATTAACACACAATCGTGGTAAAAGACTGTCCTCACCGCTATAATCGAAAATCTACCTAGATTTCATGATCCCAACCGTACAAATTCATTCACAAATTACCAATATGACAAGGTATATATAATAACAAGTCAAAAATTCAGCTAAAATCCAAGCAAACACACACACAAACAAAGATTAACAAACCAAAAACAGTGAATCAAGAAACAGTTCTCTCTACCAATTGATCACTCCACCTTGTAAAAGGCAGCATAATGTACAAAGAATCGTGCGATGGAACAACAAGCAACGGCTCGTGTTTCTCACAGCAAACGCAGTATTTACAAATAACTCATATCCCTAAAAAAACAAAAAAACAAAAACGTCGCGCTTGCTACCTTCTTATAGTTTCTCATTTACAGAGTCGCTTAAGACGAAAGTGCCAGCTCAGCCCATGCCAGCGAGGATGCCTTGATATCCGCAGACACTGACGTGTCAATTCTACTTTCCAACATCGCGCACAAGTCCCGCATGGACGCCCGTGTGCTCGTGTGGGGATAAATGCATAGGATCACAACCTCACATATCACCTTCAGTTCCTCGTAATTGAAGTGTTTCAACTCGGGATCCACCACATACGACATCACTTCTGGCAACTCCAAATATTCCTTAGCCTGCAAAAAGAATGTTATTATTTTTTTCATTATTTTAGAAAAAAAAAAGAGTGATAATTAATTTCGTAATTTACGGACCCAATCGACCAAGCACCCTTTATCCTGGCTGTATGGAAGTCTGCCACTGATTATCTCAAGTAAAAGCATACCGAACGCGTAAGTGTTGCTTTGGACATCGATATTACGTTCTTCTAGAGAATTCGGGATAATGCAAACCGAGCCTTCATTGCTTAAGGCGCCCGAGCTCTTTTCTGATCTTGAAATGATCGTTCTCCAGCATTCAAAGTCGAGAAGCTGATAAGGAAAGTCGAACGTTATAGCAGAATCGACCAATTATACATTTTTAAGGTTCGTCAAGTGATATTTGGCTAACCTTGGGAGAAAAATCATCAGTCAGATAAATCGAGCTCGAGTTCAGTTCGGATATAGTAAATGGCGGGTCGAGCTCTGTGTGAAGATACTTTAAACCCCGAGCAATCCCAACAATAATCTTCATGCGCCGTGTCCAAGAGAATTGACACGCTTCGCCNAATTTCCCCACATTATCATGATTCAGTCTTGCCAATCCCGCAACCTAAGGACGCACCACTAAAATATTTCACTGCATGTAAGAGAGAAAAAAAAAAACATTAAGATCGACAAAACGAGTTTTTACCTCTTTCTGAAAATAAAGCTCGAGGTAGCCATTCCACTGCTCGTCTTTCAAGCAAAGAGATATAACCGCAATTTCGGCCCCCCCTTTTGTTGTGCCTTTATAAACGATGCTATCGGGAGAAGATCCAATGATATTGCTGAAATCTTCACAGGCTACTTCGAGTTCTGATCTGCTGTATCTCGTCACATCCTTAAGTAATTCGGAATCTGCATAAAAGCCCTTTAGCTCAGTTCATAACTACAAACTGTACTATTTCAACACAGATATCAGTTTCACTAGCAATTTGATAGATTTTTTTTTTATAACATAGGCAGAAGCAAGAAAACAGAACACAAGACCAAGATTACAAGACGAACCTATGTAAATCATCAAGTTGTCCTTAGAACTCGAGGACTTCTTCCATCCGATGATGTTCGAAGGTTTCTTCTTAAACTTTCGTGCGGCAGTAAAGAGAGCAATGACGAATATTAGGCCCACCATAATTCCAGTCGCGATTTCAAGGGCCAAAAGCCATGCGGGTTTAGATGAACGAACTTTATGCTTTGGTTCCTCCTTAGTAGGCAATGGCTTGGACATCACTTCTGCATGGGCTTTTGTGGGGGGAGGACCACCCGAAATAAAAGCAACTGCAGAAAATTTATATACATATATATATTGATTTTTAAATTTTAAAGGAGAAAATACTCGAAGTTGTAGCTTTATAGGCAGGTTAGCCTACCACATTGTGCAATTGACCGTTGCTTGATATCTTTGACTTGCAGGCAATTACCCTGAAAACTTGATCTGTATCCAAAATGAAGATTAAGTACAACAAATATAAAGTATATTAGAAATGTAGAGAAGCATAGAAAGGGAAAGAGAATCGAGAACATAAAATACCTCGGAAGATATGCCAAGCACTTGGGTATGCTTCCAACCAAGAAATTATATGAGAAGTCAGCTACTTTGAGTCGAGAGAATCGACAAAATCCCATAGTAGTTCCATTTGAAGCAAACCTAATGTAGTTTTAGAAAGAAGCAAACTGAGTTACAAGTTGGAAAGAAATTGCATGATCATTTCATAGAAAATAAAATAACTTGAGCGAATAATATACATTAGTTGGCAAACTAATCAAACCAATACACGATCAACTATTAGAATCAACTTGCTCCATAAACGAGACAAAGTGTCATGATTCAGTCATCATGCTGCCGAAGAAGACAGCATTTTAATTTCTCCATTATTCAGAAAATTAAAGTCACGTAAAATTACTTATCTACTCACATTCCAAGAGAACTGGAAGCATAAACATTATCCGAGCTATTACGAGCAGGCACTGTTCCCATTAGCCTATTCCTATCCAATCGAAGCTCCTCAAGGTATTTCAAGTTACCAAGCTCATAAGGTAACTTTCCACTCAACCCATTGGATTCGAGATTTCTGAAAATAGNTGAGAGGAAGGAACAGAAAAGAGCAAAATAAAATTATTTTCTTTGATATTAAAACCCATTTTTCCCCTAACATTTTCAGGATGCTGCTTAAGTTCCCAATCTCGGGTGGAATTTTCCCGGTTAGCCGGTTTGATCTCAAATCGAGAACCTTGAGGTTCTTCAATAAGCCAATCTCACTAGGTATGGAGCCCATCAACAGGTTCCCATGCAAAACTCTGGTCATCACCAACATAACACACTCAGCCCAGACTAAGATCATAATCCATACATATAATTTTGTATTGTTCAGTGGAGCAAAAAAGCTTACAATTGTTGTAAACCTGACAGCTTCTTCAACTCTGGCGCGATAAAACCCTTTAAAGATTTCCCTGAAATATTTCTGCAGATTCATGTAGCATCATCATCAAAAGATGAATCAGAGTTCAGCACTAAAAACACAAGCTATCATATCCAAAATATCAAATTCATGTTATATTTCTGTTAAAACATCGACAGAAAAATCTTACAGCTCAAGAACATGATCACCAGCCGTGGAACAAGAAATGCCGTACCATTGGCACGGATTTGAATCTACAGTGCTCCAATTGGACAAAGCTAGTGAGGGGTCCTCGATAATAGCTCTCTTGAAAGCAATTAAACCATCAGCTGAAGAGAAGATGGAATTCTACTGTCAGATTAACTATTTTCTTCAAACCTTCACAGCAATTCAACTATATCTATCTACACTCTGAACATAATAGCATTCACTCAACCATTAGCTATGAAAAAATGAATTCAAGATCTGGAATGATAAAAATAAAACATCACATCACATTAGGCCAATTAGATATAAATATTAACAAGTAACAATCAGCAGCAAACATAAATTCTAAACAAAATGTGAATTAGATCAGGAATCAAGATCTGTGGAATCAACATTGAGCATTTGCCCTAAAAACTTGCCTTCATTTTTCGGAATTGCTGAGCAGCCAACGAGAGAGAATCCTAAACAGAGAACAAGAACTTCAAAAGAAGCAAATGGGTTCATTCTTCCTTGCAACACTTTACCAGCACTAACCCACACACGCGCTCACACACTCAAGCGCTTGAAAAACCCATAGAAAACAACAATTTCAAAGAACCCAGAACTAAAGTTCAGCAAAGAAAGTGAGAGAACAGTAAACGCAGGCCAGCTAAATCCTTAGGTTTATCAAGAAACAGAGAATATCAGAAAAGGCAGCCAGCCAGCCCAAAATGGGTTGTTCAGATTTCATCAAAATAAATGAAAGGAATGTTGATGGGAAAATAACCGCCATAAATGGATATGAGGAAACTAAAATAACCACGTTTTTTTTCACGCGGAAAATCAAAAGATACAATAAACAAGAAATAAAGAAAGTTAACAGCAAACCCGGAAAAAAATAAATAAACAAAAAACAGCCGCAGCCCTAAATGGCAAATGACAACAGCTGACAAGTGTGAAGCTCAAAAGGCCACAGAATGAGGAGAGCTTAGATTCAAATTGAAGATTTGATGATAAAAGAGAAATCTTGCAGACAAACAGTGTCACATAAAGAGACAATTGACAGAGAGAAAAAGAATGCCATTAATTCATTATAGTTAATATACTGCATCCACATAATGCTGCATAAAATGGTGAATGTTTTTGTACTTTTTATGAGGGTTTTTGAATATTAACTAAAGCTTGTTCTTCTGTGAGAATAATAGCTGCAGCAAGAAATATACCGTGAGATGATACTATAAGATATGATATGACATAAACAAATAAATCATCTCGTATTAGTTATGGTTTCTAATACCTTATGAGAAAATATTAAGCATAACAATTAAACGGTTTATTTATTTTATTATGTAGATGTATACTGTGAATTTTATGAACAAATAAAGAAATGAATGAAGAAAAGTTTGAGCTTCATTACTGTAAAAATGACGAGATACAGCAACTTATATTTATTCTCTCGCACATGCACAGATGTACATAAAATATTATAAGTCAGATTTGAGAATTTAATATTAAAATTTTAGATAATGAACATATTACATTTTTAAAATCTAATCATTAGGAAAAATAAATTAATGATTGTTTATTATTATGAACAATTGTTTATTATCATTAGATAATAGCAGTTTGATTATTATTATTATTGTTATTATTATTATTATTATTTAAAAGATATTAAAGTTGTTTGACTATGCTATTAAAACAATTTACTAATTGTTTTTTTAAAAAAAAAATCATGAGATATAAAAGAAAAATATAATATTGATGTTAAAATAAATAACTTGAAACAATTTTTTATAATTATGCAATTTATATTTATTGTGAATTATTATTAGTTGGTATTAACATTAATTATTATATAATATAATAGAAAAATACATGATTACACTCAATAGGATGTATTAATGTGAGAAGTAAAAAACATTAATTATAAATTTTGTAACCGAAAATGGAGAGAAAATTTTAGAGGTTTTATTAAATAGGTTTCCTTAAATGCTATTAGCTAGTAATTATATATATATAGATATAGATTGTGGCTTTGTTAATAGCACCTTGATTTTGGTTTTAGGTTACTAATTTAACATTGACTTTACACATTTTAAGATTATGGAGTGAAATCCGACAATATATAGCGTCACCTTATGTGACAGCTAAAATATGATAAAATATTCACTCGAGATACAATCAAAACCACAATCAACTGGAAGTGAACCTTATTATTTTATTTTATTGAATAATTTTAAAAACAGATAAGAATGAAAATTATACAATCTCGTAATATTAAATTACGACGTATATAAGACTACACAATTATGAGTGCACCAATTCAAATCAACAACAATGAAAGTCAATTCAACGAATATCCGTGACTTGGAAATAGGATATTTAGTGGAATATGAATCAAGCCACAATCAACAAGAAATCATCAAAGCATGAGATTCTCTCATCACACAAACCCGTTTGCTCTTAGTCAATTTAAAAGTTTTTTTTTTTTTTTTTTTTATTTTTTTTTTTTTTTTTTTTATTATTAGTTATTACTATTTTTACATGTTCGTTTATGATCTATTCAATTTTTGTGCTCTACTTTGCTTCCTTTTATCCTCAATATCTTATCTTACATCAGATTCCGAGTTTATTCTATGAACATTTTGTCATTTTTCTTCCTAGTGCTATAAAAAGGATAAAAGAAAAATGTTATATTATATAATTTTGCAATAAGATTAAAAAAAACATCAGCAACAAATTTAAATCAGTATAGTTTAATCATATACTACTAATACAATGTCAATTGTATCACCGTCACAAGTCTTAATACCGATACATAGTAAAATATCGATTGACGATTCTGACCTCACGGTACTAGGGTTCCACCATAACTTCGACTTGACGATAAATCTAAAAATCCAAAAAGAAAAAAAAAAGGTTCACCGTATCGATTAATCAGGTGCCTCGCTATTTGTAGGATTGTTCAATGATTATTCACTCATTTACCCTTACATAGGTTTCTAACCGAGCTCATTAGGTAAACGAGTCAGAAATCGAGTTCAAACTCCACTCATTTGTCAATCGAGCAGAGTTTGAGTCTTATAATTAGCAATCCGATCTCGAGCTTAAATGAGTCGAACTATACTATCAACATTCTCTTTTCAAGCCTTATCGAACCAAGCTGAACCCATCTCGTTAATAAACGAGTTTTAAGCGAGCTCGAGCTTGTTCGGACTCGAGCTTTAACGAGCAGAACCAAACTCGAGCTTTAACAAGTCAAGCTAAGCCGAGCTCACGAGCAATTTGTTTCGTTTAATTGTTGTACATTCCTACCCTATGCGCATATTCGAAACAAGTTGAGTTCATTACCGTGTATCTCAAGGCTGAGCTCGACATGAAATTCACGATATTTTAACTTTTGCATCACCAAAATATCAAGATATTTTCTTTAGTGGAAGTGATGTTTTGCTTAAGAGGAACATACTAATCATTAAAAGGGAGTAGTAAAGCACAAGGTAAACGTATTGAGGAAAGTTTAAGTCTTGATTCAGATAACCACACGCTTGGTATGATTTAGGTAATAAAAGTTCCTTTGATACACAAAGCATCATAATTGTTGATCATTTGATTGTTCCATTATTGGAATTATTTTATATGGTTGGATTCTTATTGAGAAAATTACCTAAATTATTTCGGAACTCCAAAACACAAAAATACAAAACCAATTCTCAAGCCCACATAGTTTGAGTGATGGGCCTGGTCCATATGCAAAATGTTGGCCCATAACTTATCAATAAAAAACAACACGCTTCCGTTTTCGAAAAACTTTGTCGGCCCTTTTGGGAATATAACATGATAAAGTCCTTACATCTAACATTATATAAAAAGAATAACTTTTTTACAATTTTAAAAATATTTCCCGCCAAATACATTAAATGAATTCTATATATAGTAATTGTTGGACAATATTGATAAGGCAACAAAATCGACAGATTAATTGTGTTAGAATCTGTTTTCCTTTTTCCCTTTTTTTTTGGTATTGAAAATCGCGTTATAAAATCTCATAGCATAAATCTAGAGTTTATCTCTTATCTGTTACAAAATCTCATTGCAAATTTAAAAAATCTCATCTCTTACGATTTAAAAAAATAAAATAAAATAAAAACCAATTCATCCATTATCTACTTTAAAAAGTTAATTTTCATCGGTCTAATTACTAATATTTTTAAAAATATAAGCTAACAATACATCATGGTGTGTAATCAAATTTTTTAGATGGAAGTAACGCCATAAATTCGGTATCATCTGACATAATATCTTTTTTAAATTATGCTTATAATATTTTAGATACTTTTAAACAAATTGTTTAGACATTTTTTTACATATTCGTCCATATATACATATATATATATACATACACACATATACATAATTGATGTTAAATTTAAGTATTTGTAGACATGTTTTTCTTTACAAAATAGTCTAGAAAAATTTTTTTTACACAATGTTAAATTCAAATGTTTTTAGATATGTTTTCCTTCTAAAATTGTTTAGAAAAGTTGTAGGTGACTTAACATCTTTCAAAAATAATATAGAAAAATTTGAATACTTTTACATATACTAATATAATATTTTAGGTGTTTTTAATATTAAACATACAAATTTTGTATTCTCTTATACAAAATAACGTAAATTTCATATTCTCTTATACAAAATAGTTTTACATTGTTTGACCCCGAATCTTTAATTTATAATTATTAAGTATTGTTTATCCTCCTCTTTAATTTATAATTATTTTTTTTCTTTCTCTTTTTAAATAGGATCAATAGTAGTTTCCACTTTCGCTATTGAGTGACTCAAACTCGATGTCTATTTATAATATTGTTAATTTAATATTGTTCTCGTGCATCACACGGGATACATACTAGTTTGCAAATGAATATTGGATGATTATATTGTGTGAAATTCAATATCAAATGCAAAGAGCACAGAAATTTGTTTAGGCATGATTAGTGGCTAAAATTATGAGCACGTACCTAAATTCCAAATTTTATTTAAAATTGTGTAAAAATAACGGGTGATTACATAATTATATTAATATAAGAAGAATTTATTTTGGATAAGAAAAGGCAGTTGAAAGAAAAATGATTCAAAATCTTTTANATTGCAAGTATACCCTCAAGGGTACTATAACAAATGTGTTCTTTATAGTTAGTTGCATATTGAAGGATTTATTCGATTGGTGGTGATGTGGTTGGTTATCAATATCAATAGGTGCACTTGCTGGAAAAGAGCTTTGAAGCTGATAACAAACTGGAGCCCGAGCGCAAGATCCAGCTGGCTAAGAATCTGGGCTTGCAGCCGAGACAGGTGGCGGTTTGGTTCCAAAACCGTCGTGCCAGGTGGAAAACCAAGCAGCTAGAGAGAGACTATGATGAGCTTAAGGCCTCCTTTGATTCTCTTCGTTCCAATTACGACTCCATTGTAAAGGAAAACGACAAGCTCAAAGTTGAGGTAAAGAAATGGTTTAACTGCTCAACTTTTCACTCCTTTTTATGGTGTGATATGATTATATTCGAAGGCGTTATTATGCAATGATGACTAGTTAGGTTGTGTTTGGTAAGTATATAAGCTAGCTTATAGCTTATTTAATTAGTTTATTAGTTTCTTGCATTCAAATAGACTTGGTTTGGTAGGATGAGCTTTTTTAAAAAACTCGAGTTTATCTCATAAGATTCCTTAAGTAGTTTTTCAAATAAGGCCTTTAAAATTTTTATTTCAACTAACCTATCAGCTAATTTTACTAAACATTTTTTTTCACATAAGCTAGTTTTTCAGCCATAAGTCCTAAGTTATCAGCTATAAGCTCAAATTTCACTTAATAAAGTTATAAGTTAGGTTATCAGTTAGGCTTACCAAACATAGCCTAAATGTATCTTGAAAATGTCACTTGTTATTCTAGATATATAGATAAATTCTGGCTAATAAACTAACTTATAGTTTTTAAGTGAATTTCGAGCCTGATAATTCATGACTTATAGCTGAAAAACTAGCTCATATGACCAAAGTATTTGGTAAAATTAACCGATAAGTTAGCTGAAATAAAAATTCCAATGTGCTTATTTGAAAAGCTAAGCAAGAAAGCTTATGGCATAAGCTTGAGCTTTAAAAAAACTCATCCTACCAAACAAAGTTTATTTAAATACATGAAGTTTATAAGCTAATCGAATAAACTATAAGCTAGCATATATACTTACCAAACACAACTTTAAAATACCAAAAAAATGTCACCATGTAAAGGTGGAGTTATATATTTAAAAATAATAGTAATTTCATTTATATATATTATTTTTATGTCATAAGGGGATATTACATATAAAAATGTGCCAAAATTTTGAATTTTCACAATTGAAGATTTTTCAAAATAAAATTACTTTACATTCATTTTTTTCGCGAAAACTTTACTATACAAAATATACAAACTTAGGTTTCAGAAACCCTCTCTCAATCCACCTCCTCTCTGCAGCCAAGCCCTCTGCTCCTCCTCGGCGTTCACCGACACCGGGACAGCCTCCTCCCTCCCATATGGTCGTGGTCTCATCTTCTTGTTGAAGCTCCTCCCTCGGCGGGCTTCGACAAGTTTATCGTTGACTTGACGCTGCGGATGGGGCTGCCGACAATGCTCGCCAGCCTTTCGGCGGACCGAGCTTGGACCGACACGGTATTTTTTCCCTCTTTTCTATTTGTTCTTTGTGTTGGGGATGGATGGATTTTCCGGCCGGCGGCTTGTTTTCTTCTTAAGAGAAAATGAGTCGGCTCCGTCGGTGTTGTGTGGGGAGAAGTGTTGGTGTTCGGCCTCTTGGTGCTATTGTTTGATGGTGTTTGTTAGAATATACACTTGTGATTTGTCTCACATCGTCTATACAGGGAAAATAGGCCTAACTTATAAGCCTAGTGGGCTACTCCTCCTACCACCAATTGGTTTTGGGATAGAACCTCACTTGGACTTCATTTAGGCTTCCCTGATTTGGTGCGCTTCGTTCGTGGGACCGCACCAGTCAACCCCCGTTTATCATGGTATCAGAGTCGGTTCACCCAGTCCAGTTGGGCTTAAGCCTACGTGAGACCGTGTAATGACGTACCCGTCACCCAGCCTAGTTGGGTTGGGGCTTCCGAATGACTCACAAGTGAGGGAGAATGTTAGAATATACACTTGTGAGTTGTCCCACATCGTTTATGCAGGGAAAATAGGCCTAACTTATAAGCCTAATGGGCTACTCCTCCTACCACCAATTGGTTTTGGGATGGAATCTCACTTGGACTCCCTGATACGGTGCTATTCGTTCGTGGGACCGCACCCGTCAACCCCCGTTTGTTGCCAGTGAAAGGGGGCTTCGGTTCACTAGGTCCGGTTCTAGCTAGCCTTAGCCTTTCAGGAGTTCGGAGTTTCTATTTCTATTCTAATTGGGGCCAAAGTCTTGTGTTTCTTGGTGGTCGCCTCTAGGTGTTAGCTTCGTGTGTGGTTCTGGAGTAGCTTGTAGAAAGCAAGGAGGACTTTAGTTTATTTTATTTGTAGTTTAGTTTTTATGTTTTAGTTTTGTGTAGTGTCTTTCTGCTTTCTCGCCTTTGGGTCTCCCTTTGGGGGTGTTTTGTCTCCCATTTGGGGAGTGCTTTGGTCTCTTAGTAGAGAAGTGTAGTGTCTATTTTGGTGTCTAGTGTGTGGCTCTTGGTGGATCCCTCTGTTTGAGTCTTTTTTTATCTTTGTGTTTGGTGTAAAATTGTAAAGGTGCTTTGTAACTTCCATGGGCACTCGGTTGTAATTTTCGGGAGTGAATNACAACCGTAAATCCACCATGTATCATAACTTTCCATCCTGGATTAAATAAAATCAAAGTTTGATAAGGTTCAAACATGTTCCCCGAGCCACCTCATCAATTGAGACAATAAACTCAAATTGGAACTATAACATCTCTCAAAACCTATTGGGAAAACCTCATTCGTCTTATGGTTCTACATGAACTTCCTCTTATGTCGCTAAAAGACTCTTTCCAAACAACTTTCGACCCTCTTATGGTTCTACATGAATTTCCTCTCAAGACTCTTCGTAGGTCAGAAGCTCACAACTGACTTTAAGGGCAAATCCACTCCAAAGGCAGGGGTGGGCTCCAATCTGGGCTAGTTAAAAGAAATATATTAGTAAGCTCAATTCAATATTGTCATTAAGTCAGTCCGTGCTTGATTTGAATAAGACCCATATCAGATGCAATCACGCAAAAAATTACAAAAGATGGACGATATGACAATAGATACTTTCACATAGAGGATTCCAATCAATCTTCACTTTCTCACACGCCTGTCTGCAGGACCGACTCTTTGGGGAAGCAGCTAGGCCCATGCCTAGGGCCTCCCATATATTTGGGGCCCTATTTTTTCAGTATTATGTATTTGTGATGAGTTTGGCTTATTTGTACATATGAAGTGACTCATGGCTAAATATAGACTTGACCCATTACACAAATGAAGGGGTTAATTAATGAATGAGCTAATGACAAAATATGTACTTTGTGTAGAAATTTAAGGCCCTAAATATTTTATTTGTTTTCTTATGATGTTCGGTTAGAACAATTGTGTTAGAATAAATATTTTTTGCAATGATATGATTTTTATTTTCTTCTTTTTGTTGTTCTTATGACTGCTTGAATATAAATTATTAAAGATCGTTGTAACCCATGGGTAATTTATCAATTCCAAGGTCTAGAAAAACAAGAAAAAATATTCTTTTTTCAACTATTTATTTATTTATTTATTTAATAGTCTTTTTTAATTAGGTTTTTTTTTTCTATGATTCTATTTGCAAATAGCCTAATTACCACACAAGCTCAAATCGAGAAATTCGAAAATGACAAACTTGTCTAGGGCCTCCAAATTTTTAGAGACGCATGTCTACAAGAACAAAGTCATGTTTACTTTCAGTAGTCAGTTTAATTTTTCATTGTTTTTATTTTGTAGCCCATGCATTTATCCAATATTGTTGTTACCCTAAGTTTGATATCAATTTAGAATGACTTTTATTATTGTTCTAATTTAAGGTTGGAGTTATCTAACAAAGTCATAGCTTGTTTGTTCCTTTGTTATTGTTGTTGGTGTATTATTATTATTATTATTATTATTATTATTATTATTATTATAATTATAATAGTTTTTGAACTGAGTGCAGTTATGTTCTTATAAGTAACATAAACAAATTACTTACTGGACTAGCTTATTTAGTGGCACAAATATCGTAGCTAGATATTTGACACTTTTGTACACTAAAAGAAAATAATGAAATTTTAATAGAAAATTCCAATAGGATTCCAACGGTATTTCTATGGATACTACAATGCCATTATTTTCGTATGAATTTTCAATAGATTCTAATAGAAATTCCAGCAAAAAATATGCCGTTGGAATGAGTTTTTTATTAGAATTTTTCCTGGACTTTGACAAGTTCAACAACAGATTTTCCAATGATAGAAATTGGAGTGGAAATAAAAGTTTCGAAAGAAATTGCATATTCCAATGAGAATTCTTACAGTAAAAAAACCGTTTGTAAAATAGTCATTGAAATCATCAAATTATATTTATAATTCCAATGGAAAGCTCATTTCAACTGAACATTTTCGTTGGAATTTCTATTGAAATCATTCCCACGAAAGCTATACATTTGGAATATGCGTTAGAATTTCCATTAGTATATATTATCGTAAGATTTTTCGTTGGAATATGACAATTTTTTTGTAGTCGTAATTTGTTTTGTTATCTAATGAGCAATTCCAAATCTATTTGACAAATTGCAATGAGCAAAGTTCATAAATTTATTTATAGATAGTTTTATTTGGTATGTTTGTGTTCTATGGAGTTTTTGCATACATGAATATCAATAAAAACTTGAAAAATATAGCTAGCTATATAACTTGGAATTTATTCTATCTAGTTGGAGACAATATTATGAGTTGGTATGATTTGTAGAATTTAGTATCATTTTGTAGAAAGACAAACTTATGTATAGTAACTAGATTATATCCTATTGCATTACTAATTACTACTTGATGTATCATTATAACTATCGTGCATAGGAAATATCGGTGTACCACTTGTTGACTTCCGAGCTGAGCTGGGTGGGCACAAAATTAGATACGACCGTTTGATGAAGAAATAGCCGAGACAGATACTCGGGTAGTAGGATTAAGAGTTAATCCTAAACTCAGGAGTAAGGACAGTCGGGTGCCGAGCGAGAATCAAACAAGACACCTAGGTTGGGCAACCATAAGTGTGAGGTCGACTAGGGAAATATCAAAATCAGCAGAATCAAACTCAAGACTTAGGTAAAATAAGCCTAAAGTTGCTATTGAAGACCGAGCCGAGCGCATTGAGGCGGAAAAAAATATTAAAATAATGGCAACTTGTAGCCATATGATGAAAGATGGGGCGCGCCCCTCAAAAGTCTGTCAGTCTACGTGCCACAGCCTCAAAGGATCACACGTCGCATTAAATGCGTATCTTTTCATTTTATGCTTGGTCTACTGCCCGATGAACAGTAGACGGACCACTCTTACTATAAATAGTCCTGGAAATCAATTGTAGAAAGGTTCTGAAATTTCTCAACACGCAAAACATAAATTCACCTATTAAATTCAACATTAAATACGAGCACCAGAGCTCATCATCAAAATATCCGACTTCGTTTTCACTTGCTTTTTCACATATTTAGCACATCACATCGAATTAAACAACATATTAGCATTACTTCCATCAATATCAGTTGATCAAAATTTGTTGGTCAATAGTTTGGCGCTAGAGGAAGTGCCTCATATTGTTTGAGGTTACTATTCGATTTGGAGAACACCACATCCGCTACCAACCACACAACTCATGAGGATAGCCGAAGAAGATGTCTTCATCAAGCCAGGAAGTGGAATCTCAGCCGCATACGACGGAGCAACCACGCACGGTGGCTCCCACTATCGAGTTCACATCGATGTTTCAAGATTCGGAATTCCTAAGGGCATGGCGGACCTCATGACGCGAGTCTTGCTATCGACGTCACACACGCCTCCACCAAAGACACAAACCCCACCGGAGACGAGGGCAACAGGTCGGCCCAGTCATATGTATCTTCCATAATTTAATATCCTTCAAATTTTAATGATTCCACTTTAAAGAATTCATGACTAGTTAGAAGTAAATGTCTCAAATTATTTTATATATTTTTTCCAAAGTAAAGCAGACTAGAGGTTTTGCAGTTGGAAACCAACTCAAGTAAATAATTTTCGTTTTGTAATTCATAACAGTGAAAATGATATTTTTTTTCGCAACGATAGACTTTATAAATAACAACACAATCTACAGACTAGACAACATCTAAACAATCGAATAAATCAGTTGCTCAGCTGAATCTAGTTGGGAAGACTACACCACTAGTAGCCTAGAACAAACTTGAAAATTTCCAAGAAAGGAATACAAATGGGGGTGTATTGTTTGGATTTCGACTGACATTTTGGGAGTTTTTAAAATTTAAAATTTGTTAAGATTTTCAGATTTAGTAGGAATCATGAGAAATCTTAAGTTCGAATGTGAGATTTGGAGTGATATTTTGTTTATGGTTTATTCTTTTGAAATGTCAACAAATCTTAAAAAGTGTTAAGGCATGCTTGTTTATGAAATAATTTGCTCACATTTATTTCAAATTCAAAATTTAACTCAACTTTAACTCAACTTCACTATCCTTAATATTATTTATATAATTAAATAATACAAATCAATCGTACTTACATATGACATCAACTTTAATTCACTATTCATCCACTCACATAATTTTAACTACCTATCATTTTCAATCATTTATCTCCTATTTCTACATCAAATCAATAATAATCATTTTATTTTAAATATTATTTTAAATATATCATTAAAATTCTACTACCAACTAACCTTACCACATTTTCAAATTTAACTCTAGTTAATCAAAATAACTCATTTTGAGCAAATTATTTCATAAACAAGCATGCCCTAACAAATTCAGTTGTAAATAATGTAAAATACCTCAGAATTTTTAAGACTTTTAAAAATCTCAAATGAATACCTCGAGACTTTTAAAAGTCTTAAAAGATCTAATTAAATAAATCAAGATTTCTAAAGTCTTAAAAGCCTTTAAAAATCCCAACCGAATACATCCCTCAAAGCTCCCACAAGTGGAGAATGCGAATAACACAATCCCAACAGGAGAAAAAAAAAACACAAAAAATTGCAGGAAAAAAAATCTAATAGTTAGACTACAAACCTAAGGAAGTAAATGGGTAGGGTTGGGTGCGGGTTTTGGCAAACCCGAACTTGACCCGCATATAATTTACCCTACCCGTACCCGACCCATTATCCAGTTAGGGACCTTCGGGTTCGAGTTGGGTTTTACCAACGGGTTATCGGGTCTTTGTCGAGCAAACAGGTAACCCGAATTCTTAAATTTGTCCCGACCCGACCCGACTCGACTCGACCCGTTTCATGTGTAAATAAATAAATAAAATAATTCTGCAATTAAATATAGTGTAACTAATAATTATTAACTAAGTTTGACAATAAAATTACTATAAAAAATTCTGTATTATTTTTGGAATGAATATTAAGGTATAATTATTTATTTTTTATAGTCTAGCTAATAATATAACATTTAAAAATTATGTATTTAAATTTTATATTTTACAACTAAAAGAATAATTGATAAGAAAATCGGAAAAATAAAATAAAATTTAAACCATTAACCATTAACCATAATTTTACTCAAACATGACCTGAATTCCGATCATCTCGAGTTTATCCAATTCAAAAATGCAGATAATCCAATCGTGCGAGTTTTATTGACATGCCTATACAAATCTCCAAGGAGAACCACAAGCCCCTACTCGCCCAACACCATATGTATTTTAATACTATTTTTCATGTCACTTCACACTGTAACACAGAATATACTATTCTCATCCATACATCATTATGATTATGCATAGTGCATAATAAAAAAGTGAACTCCTATCATAAGGAGTCGAATTTTGTAACTGGATTGGTCCAAAATGATATCATTAATCCATTAGAAGACAAATACTGTACAAATTGTGGATGGAAAATAATTTATAAATTGATTAATCAGTGATAATTTGGGGGTTGAAGTTTTTTGCCCCATCCATTATATCATTTTAATATATATCTAAAATATATAAATCTTACGGTAAAAAAATTATTTTCATTTTCCACCACAATCTGCATATATAATAGATATATTAATATGCATTTATTATCAATAACATCTTATTATTACATATTACATATATTACATTGGTCAGAAGAAAATACATATAATAAACTTATTTTTTGCATTTGAGTTCGAAATTACTATTATGATATATTTTTTATAATGGAATGACGATTTTGGTGTCTAGAGCTGCTAAGTATTTCGTTTAGAGTTTAAATATTTTACACACCCATCTAAAACATTGTATTAAGGTACTCAAACTCCGTATTATTTTAAATAATACGTCTTATTCCTTTAATTAGTTCTAAATATATGTTTGTCTTCTACCTTATATCATCCCCATATTATATCAAATATTTCAAACACTTTTATTTAAAAAGTACACCATATTAATTATAATCATGTTGGCAACTTATAAATTAGTGTGGGGTTTTGCTTTATAAACTATTCTAGATTAGATGCTAGCCACACAACTAATATAAAGTTTCTTTTTTCATTTTTTTTTTAAATAAAATAAAGCACGCTTTACATGAATTCTATTTGTACATATAACAATTTTAATGCAATATAAGTAGTCCCTCTCCAACCACCGTGTGACCAAAAAAGGGTAGACTAAAAATAACAACCCATCATAAATAACAATTAAAGTAACCATTTTAAACTTTGGACTGTAGGGTTTTAGGGACGCCAATGTGAAATTATTATTTGCAAGAAAATTTGATCCCAAACGTGCATAGTATACTTTATAATCTATATAAGTCAAATTAAAGATTAGAGCTTCAATCCTAGCTAGCCAAAATGCCATTTTTATAAACACATACATATCATCACACACACACACACACATATATAACTTCAATAATCTCGGAGTCCATAGCCATATCCTTGCAAAAGCTCAAATCTTTATCCTAATCTTTCAATGGCTAAAATACACCCGAAAAGCCCGATATTCATCGATAGCCCTTGTCAATACTCATCGTCCGAAAGAGAAATATTTACCGTTTGGATGAAATCCCTAGTGATCAACGGCAATGGATGCACGGTTTTCGGCTCGGAAGGTGAAATTGTCTTTCGGGTCGACAATTACCAAACGAGGCGCAGTCGAGAGGTATTTCTAATGAGCTCTGATGGCGAAGTCCTCTTCTCCGTAAAAAGAAAGGTATTTACTATTTACTATAGTTAGTTATTTTAGCCACTCGAATTTTTTTTATTAGCTTACTTTTCTCATCCGACGATCTTTTTTTTATTATTTATTATTTTTGCAGAATTTGCAAGTTTTTAGGAGTTGGGGAGGCCATAAGTTCCTCAATTCAAAGCTTCATAAGGAGGGAGAATGGTTCAAAGTGAAAAGAAAGTGCAACATTTTTAGGAGAGGTCTAATTGAATGCGACGTCATACTTGGATGTAACAAGGTGACATTAAGTTGCTACAAGATTGTAGGGTTAAAAGGGAAATCAACTCTCAAGATAATGGATTGCGAGAGCCGAGTTATAGTCCAGGTAAAATAATATTTCATAAATTCTTGTGTGAAACGGTCTAAATGTTAGATTGGTCGACCCGTTATACTTTTGTAATAAAAATATATACTTATGTTATGAAATGTCATATTTTTATAAAGTATATAGTTCATTTCAGTTTAAAATTAAATATGCATATACTATTGAAAAAATATGGTCGTTAGTCCTGCATAACAATAACTTTACTAGTTAATGTTAATACCCAAGGAAAAAAATGAATAATTAATGTTTGGCTAATGAATATTTTCAGGCGACTCCAAAACAGTCATTTGGTGGAGTTTCTTTGGGAGATGATGTGCTAACCCTGATGGTGGAGCCCAAAATAGATCAATCCTTTATTATGGCTCTAGTGATAGTTTATGCTATGATCAACAATAAACTATAGTTTTTGGGAGCTTCATGTAAATTACACACATTTTTCTCTCACATCTCTCTCTCTCTCTCTCTCTCTCTCTCTCTCTCTCTTTCAATGCACATAGGAATTTTATTATTATTATTTTTTTTGTGGAGAAATTGTAATTATGCAAGAATAGACATTGTAACTTTTGCAGCAAAATTTTTGTGAGATCAGATTATGCTACAAATATATGCAGTCTCTCTGTACATTGCACTTAGATAAGTATTAGGGGGTAGATGGTCTACTCATATAAATAATATTTTGCTAATAATTGAAATTTAATTAGTTAATCAATGGGCTAAGTGTTCTTTTCTAGTTCTTGAATTTGTTTAGATTATAGATCTGAAGAAGATTAAAACAACGACGTGATTGCTTAATTTTATTATTTGTTTATTTATTTATTCAACCAAAGAAATTAGTCAAATTACAGAATTGCTTAAACAACCAATGAACTTGAACTTACATGTCAAGACTGGTCACTATCAATTCCAGTAATTCCATTGCTCACCGATTAGAAATTTAGGATAATCTTGGTAATTATGGCAGGAATTTCAATGTTTGTTCATGGCCCATGTGTCTCAATCGTTGATGTTGATCAACAAGTAATTATATTCTTATTTGTTAATTTCTTTCTAATGATCTATAGTTTCACTATTATTACATATACAGAACATGGCTACATGAATTAGGAAAGGGAAGGCCAATATCGTCTCCCACTTAAAGAAACCTTAATCATTATGCCTAAGCCAGGACCAAATTTTCATACCTTTTACTGGGTTAAGAACAGGAGATACTATTTAAAATTTAATTTCTAAACTATATTGCAGATCTTAAAAAATCATATAAATCCAATAAATCATATGCGACTAAGGTACACACAACTTCTGTTGTGATACGTTAGGCGTGTCAAGCATACATATTGAAAATGTCGTACTTTTGTTTATATTTTTTTAAAATTATTGCCATTTTAATTTGAAAAATATGCATATCAGTTGAAAAAAATAAGAGTGTCTAATTGTTATTCATGCCTAACTGCATCAATTTAAAACATCACAAATCACAATAAGCATCCAGATCAATATTATAAAGAAACAACACATTATTGACTACATAGAATGAAAAGGAAAGTTGCATAGTCACAAGCTGAGTGTAAGGTAC